TCTTTGTCCTTACCTTCTCTACATTGACTTTTGGTCTCCCCGCAGGTTAGCATCTTAATAAAATTGTTAGCTCGAAAATTATGTCAAAGCAATGGAAATTCCAGAGGGTTCAAAAGTATTCCAAGTCCTGAAGTTCCCTAAGCCTTGACAGGGCCTCCTTTGTCCCTGATGTTGGCGTTTGCTGTTGTAGGGTACTCTGTCACTGAACAGTTTATGAAGGGGTTTAGCTCTCAAGCCTAGTTAATTTTTTTTTTGCCCATGCTACTTCTCAGGCTATTCCAAACCCTCACACCATTAATGGTTAAAATACGCTTTGTAATTTCTGGCTGATGTTAATCTGTGCCCATTTTATATCCAGTTAGCATGTTAACTTCATTCTCTATTTTAAACTTTTTTTTTTTCCCCCTCAGCCTGCTCTTTATCCCCAGTGTGACTGTGATTTCAGTGAGTTGCTCTAGCTGTAGTTTCTTTTTCTTTTGGATGATACCTTAGGTGTAGGACTCTTTCTCTACGGTGTATAGAGAATGTGATTGGGTGGATGTGATTTTTCCTTAAGACAAGTTCCCTGATACCTATTGCTTCTGGGTTGCAAAACTCTGCTCTGAGCTTTCCCATATTGAGTAAGATTTCCCTCTTGGTGCATTTTTTTTCTGCTGTTTTGCATAGTATTTGCATAACTGTTCTTCAGTTCTTTTAATAATTGGTCTCCCACAGTTGTCATGTTTCTTTAACTCTTTGTACGGAAGAGAAATGCTCACAGCTTTCAGCTGTACTTTTTTTTTTTTAATTATTGCTGGGAAGCGTCATAATGTTGTTGATGGACTTCTTTCTGAGGGCAACATACATATACCATGGCAAAGTATCTTGGCAGAGTCTGCCTTGAGAGGGTGATTTTCAGGTTTCTGCTTGTGTTGGAAATCTGTACTATGTCAGTAGCAGTTCTACTTGACTGCTAGTTGAGATGACCTGTGCAGTTCTAATGATGTAAGGTTGTCATATGTTAATGTACTTGCAGTCCTTTTCCTAATATAAGTAATTATTCCAAGTAAACAGGCAGGTCATCGTGGTAATCTGCAAAGGGGGCTGTTATTCTTGATTACCCCAGTGATAATACCTCATTGGGTTTAAGCATGATGATACAATCTCAAAATAAGATAAACCATTCCTGCCTTAATCACAGGGATATTCAGCCCTACAGCAGGTTATATTCTGCATATATCCATTTGGAAACACAAACTAATTGTCCTTTCTGAACCCTAGTACGCATCTAATTGTTAGATGAGCACTAGGGTTCCTTAGCTGAAGGAACTAAGCTGAACTTAGCTAAAGGAAGCTTCTGGAAAATGTGCGGCCAAACAATCTAGCAAGGCATCTCCTAATCTGGTGTTGATATGCTGCACATCGCAACTTCTGCCATAGTTCCTAACAT